GTATGCAAATTGTGGAGTGCAATTTACGTACCTTTTTCTGATTTATTTATTTTTTTTTTTGGAAGAGGCTTTTCTGAAATTTGGCCCATCTATATTGAGCCAAATTTCAGAAAAATATCTCCTCTTTTGGGAGAGCCTTTTTTCCTCATAAAACATTGGAAGAACAGATGCGTTTGCAGGATACAGTGGAGGTTTTCAAGATCTTGGAAGAACTCTGTAGTCTAGACATAGCCCCAGTGGCCTATAAATATGTTTGATCTCAGAACAGGTGAGTTAGTCCACAATGGTTTTCTGCCAGTTCTTCAGGACACCACTACTCAAATCCTGATTGCTAAGGCAAAAGCTGTGTACTATTTAAACGGAGGTGGACAGCAAAAGAAGCACGTCTATGGAACTGGGTAAATCCTACACTTTCCCAGTTCTTACTCTTGCCCTTTTTCTCAAAAATTCTGAGAAGAGGCATTAAGTTCTCCCATCCTTCTCACCCCTTTCTGAACTCCTTCTTTAACCTCTTTTTTTCCAAAGAGTCACCCGGCCGAACCTCTTTAAAAAGAGGAGAGAAGAAAAACAAATCTCTGCATCCTGAAGAAATAAGACAACAAAACTCCCAACCATTGCCATGTCCAGTTTTCCAGGCTTTAAGCAAGGCAACACCTACAGAGACTCTTGCCAGTCTCTGGACACTCCTCCTGTCTTCATAGCATCAAGAGAGAGCCATATCCATCAGAAGTGCTCTTATTGCAGTAACAAGAAGGCCAAGACCACGCGGATAGAGAATTATGCCTGAAAATGATTGATTCCCCTGAACAAATCTCTTTAACCGACACAAGATGACCCTGCCACTGACCCGTCAAAATCTGGGTCTATGGACAATGCTCAGTCTTCCATTGCTCCTAGAAACAAGTCTCATCATCTTCAGAATGGGACTCTTGTAGTTTGAGGGTTTCCTCGCAGGGGAGATCTCTGCCTGCAGTGCCAAGCTCTTTCAGAGTAAGACAAGCCTGTCAACTCTGGCACCGCCTTGGCACATATGCCGATGGTGCCCAAACCCTATACAAATTTGACACAAGGTCTCCATAATGGCACCAACAACACTAGCATGGTAACCAGCACCAAAGCGGGCCCATGCAGAGATGCTGCCACCACCAGCACCAGGCTCAGTGCAGACTTCAGCACAAGAGAATGGGACAGCCAGCATTGATCAGTACCACACCAAGCTAGCACTGAAACACACCACAGCAAAATGCTTTTCAGCACTGACACAGTTCCTCTACCACATCAATACAGAAGTCCACTCAATGTCGCAGTTACAACTTCTCAGTACCAATCACTCCCCTATTGGTGCAACAGGGCAACCACCTCTTTGTCCCACTGCCTCTACCGTATAGTGAAGGCTATGAAGATGGTCAAGATAGTCACTTTTCCTCCCAACATGCCAGTGTAGACACGCCCTATGTTAGGGAAGGAACTGAGTGGTAGATGGGACTACTCTTTTATAACCACCTAAGAAACACAAGGATGTGCAATGCACATGTACATCCTCAACAGATGCTGTTAGATTCTGATCCTGCATGCATAAGGCATGCACACCTTCAGTGAGATTCATGTGGGCAAAAGCATCTAGTAGAACTCCACATACTGCAAGGTAGGTAACCTCTCTCTTCGTTTTCTAGGTTAAATAAATAATCCAGTCTCCAAATATACTGTATACTGAACGATATTTAGCCACTCTTAAGTAGGTAAATTTCACTATTTTTTTTAATTGCAAAACCTGTAGGCCTCTCTCTTTAGATAGAAACTGTTCTTTCCTGAATTATAAACCTGATAATATGAAGGAAATTCTAGAAGTTTCAAGCAACAAATTATTATAATTATTAATTTGCACAGAAATATCTAATTAAACGGGAAAGAAGAGAGCTATTAAGGTGTTCAAATAAAAACAGTAGCCCACAAGATCATTAGTAATTGAAGATGAGTCATCTTTATTCTCTGAACGATAACATATTCTGTAACATTTCTTCACAAACTTATTATGAAGACTGCATTTTATGTTTTAATGTTCAAGACTGAAGGTGTGTTAGGTTGTTATACACATGACTGTACCAGTAACACCGGCACTTAAAATAAGTACAGTAAATTCTGTACAGTAAATAAGTGAAGATTCTTATAAAAGTAATACAGTACTTTATATTCTAGATAAAGCTCTTTGATTTACAATTTAGGGGGTTTGTTCATTTTTCTTTGCATTTCTTCAGCATCTAGGAGTCCCTATAATTGACCAGAAACTGTGTGTGTGATTAAGAGTCTATGCTGACTGGTTGAAACCCAGATTTCAGTTCATTCCAAAGGTATGTCGTTCTATGCAGGCACATGTGAACAGAATAAAATAGAAGTACAAAATTATTTATGTAGAATTACCATGATAAGTTTGCAGCAGGCAATAAATATTTCTGTTGGTAAATATATAAAGTAACAGAGGTTTGTAAACATGCTTATGATTTTTTCCTTGTATTTCACTTAAACTTACTTAGTAGATGTGTGCATTATTGAGGAGGTATTTCTGATTTGTTTTCTTCCATTGTACAATATATATATGAGAGGCTCAAGCTTAAGTCTTGCCACCAAGGTAGGTCATTTTTATCTCTATCTTATTTATGGTGCGGGTAAATGATTTAACAGCCATAATCATCCATTGAATCAATGGT